TGTTTATTAATACTGTAATTGTTGGGTGCTGTCCATATTTGTATATTTTTCTTATTGAGAAATCTGAATCGTCGTCATTATTATTGTAATTTGTACCTTAAATTTTTCCTCTAATTTTACAACACACGGCAAAGTGGTTTGATTTCTTACATTTGTTGCATGTTTTTTCGTATGCTGGACAATTTCTAATAACATGAAAACGAATACAAAAATAGCACGGTTTTCTCGTATTATTATTATTATGTGGTAGTTATTATACTTTTGTATTGGTTTTCTTTTTACGTATGTTTTGTTATCATTTTGATAGTGCCGATATCATTAATATTATACTGTCGATTATTTTTATCATTTTTATTTATCGTTTATTATTATCATTATGTTTATTCGTCCCTTTGATTTTATAAACCATTTTAGTAGTATTATTTATTTCAAATCCATTTCTACAACTTTGCTAAATCTTAACGGTCGTCTTTAGTATCTGGGTATCTTAAACGTCGTTCTTCATCTAGTTGTGACATCTTTAGTCCGGCGATTAATTGATTGCGAATTCTTAGTTCTACATTATCTTCAAATTCGCATCTTCGGTCTAGCTCCTTTATAGTTTTTAAATAATTCAAAACGGTTTCTGTAGGTCCGCGACTTAATCTAATGAAATTAATGCCAGAATAGTTCTTTCATCTTTATAAAGTTGTTTAGCAATTTTGTATATATCTGCCCATACTACATCATCAATTTTTCTTGGAAAGAGTAATTTTTTTATATCAGTTATATTATTTATTCCTCCATAAGCTATAAATAATTTTTTCAAAGTGGCGTCAGTTTATAGAATATTTTTAACATTCAGTATGTATTTTATATAATCAATATAATCTTCAATGGAACAATCGTCTTTTTTATAATCCTGTAATACGATTTTATCCATAATTTCAAAGATATATTTTTTTTTATAAACAGAAATTTTTTTAAAATTCTGTATAATATTTAACTTGACCGAAAACCGCGCGACTTTTTTTTTACCTCTTCGCCATTTTTTATAGTCAAAACAATCGGTAACTTTATTTTAAATTTTTTTCTATATACAGTATTTTATAATTATGTAATTTAACTTCTAATATTATGCAATTACATTGACCTCCATAATATAATATTAAATGCAGGAAAGTTATAATAATATAATATTCAAATAAAGATATTAAAATATAACACATCTCTTTACCCAGTCATTTTTTGTCTTACTTTCCACATGTCCAAGCAATCTTAGGCTATTTCTACTCATTACCACTCCAATAGGTTATAATATTACTTTCAATTGTTTTTCACAAATTTTCCTTTATCTTTGTCATATTGGCAGCTTTGTCAATGATAAAACCTATAACTGACTGTTAATACTTATATGTACAATTAACAATGAGTTTTTGTGAAATTTCTTTAAAATATTCTCCAGTATGTTAATTGTCCGAAGTATAAATTCCAATTAATAAACAATAGTCACTCAGATGATGCGGTGAATAAAATAAAATCAATTCAATGGTACTTGGCACAGGGAAATTTAATTATGGATATTATATTTAAAAAATAAATATAACAACTATTTACGTCAGTGACCGCAACAGTAGAAAGAATATTCCCATCTTTTGGAGTTGTTCATTCGAAACTTAGCTCTTAGAAAGGGAAAAGTAATAGATTGTTATTAAGTTATTGTCATATATTTTTTTAATTAAATAGAATATTAAATAATTTCACTATATAGAGATTTTACTAGTGCATATAAAAAAAAATTATATTTTAGACCAATTTAATCTTTATCTTTCACCATATTTAATAAGTATTTTGATTTAGTTTAGTAAATAAAATTTTATTAAAATATCAATTTAAATCATATTCTTTTTAATTAGCCAACTCTAACTCAAAAGGTTCCATATTTACTCGATCCCTAATATTATGGCGAACATCCTACAAATATTAAATTTGATTTGTGATTTAATACAAGAAACTGAAAACTTTCTGAGGTAGTTTAATAGTTTAATTATTAGCAGAGTAATAGATTTCTAAAAGACATATTAACATAAAATAGCCAAAATATGTGGAAAGCGGTAAATTTGATAGGACTTAATCAAATTTAAGCGCCAGTTGGCGAGATTGGCTTTACCCTTACTCTACTTACGACTTCTAATTTTTAAAAAAAAATTAGACAATTTAGAATTTATTACTAATGAAATCGATTGAAAACCTCTACTGGTAAGCATACTGTAATTTAAGATTAGCGAAAACCATAAACTACAATCATGATAACTCCTTTGAATCACATTGTAGTAGAGATAAAACGAAATATGAATGAAAAATTAACATTTAATTATATATGTTAGCGTCAATGTGTTAGTCTTTCAACTTTAAATCATTTTTTGAGCGAGTTTTTAATATCAAAATTCTGATTTTTCCGGAAATATATTCCAGCATGATTAGAATACCTATTATGCCGTTAATCTTTGAGTCATATATAATTTTTGTTAATAATTTATGAAAAAACTAATATAAATTATATTAAGTTCAAAATGTTTATGGAATAATCTTCTGAAATTCATAGAATAGGTATGTATTTTAAACATAATGGAATACATTTCCAGTAAAATATTTTAAATTTTAAAAAAGTGTTTCAAAGATGATTTAAAGTTGAAAAATTAACACATTTCCGAAAAAACACATTGCCGCTAACATAGCCATTTATTTAAGAACATCGTTTATTATGTACGGCTATATGTACCAAATAAATTTTATACTGACTTAAAACTTTTATTTGACCGATTTGTATTATACTTATCAAATATCAACCGATTCCTTCGAACGAAGGTATACAACAAGGTGACCCTCTAGGTTCCTTTTTGTTCTGTCTGGGCATTAATAATCTAATACGAGAAATTAATGACCAATGCAACCTAAATCTCCATAACTGGTATATCGACGATGGCATACTAGGCGGCCCACCGACTGAAGTCACGAAGGCAATCCAAATAATAAAATCCAGCGAGAAAAGTTTGGGACTTCGAGTTAATCAAGACAAAAGCGAATATTGTCCTCTTGGAATCATTGACCTTAACCACGATACTATGTTCAATCATACACCATTGAACGTTTTAACACATCTCGGATCTCCAGTAGGTAAAGACGAGTCCTTTACCAAGTTCTTTGCCGATATCCTACGAGAGATATCCCTTATGCGAGATACACTATCTCGCCTCCCAGCTCACCAAGATTTCTTCATATTAAAGAACTAACTTTTAATTCCAAGAATTTTATATACACATCGAGCGTCTCGGATCTTTCAATATGACGTCAACCTCACTTCACATGAACTGGAGATTAAACGCCTAACAGAAGATATACTCAATCTTAAATTTGGGGAGTTATCATGGCTACAGGCTACCTTACCAACCAAATCCGGCGGTATTGGTATAAGGTCACCTTCCATACTTTCTGTTAGTGCGTTCATATCCTCTCGCTTGTCCTGCGAGCCCATCATTCAAACGCTAACAAAACATCCTGACCCCTTACTCCAACAGGCAATTGATCTATGGAAGTCCCTCTCATTAGTCGATCCTCCATCGTCGGCATTACAGAAGGATTGGGATAAACCTCTAGTAGGCAACTCCGTTGCATTCCTTAAATCGAGGAGCCAACCAGAGGACCATTCTCTACTCTTCTCCATTTCCGAAGGTAGTGGATACGAATTTCTTGAAGCCTTCCCATCCCGAAACCTTGACCAGCTCCTAAGCAATGATGAGTTACGTCACGCCATCGGTCTTAGACTGAATTGCAATATGGTAATACCTTATAACTGTATCCTCTGTCAAACGTCGGTCAACTCCAAAGGCCGTCACTCTCTACACTGCAAGCGCTGTAAAGGCAGATTCATTAGGCATTCAAAATGCAATGATATTATTGCCAGGGCCTTAAAATCCGCCGGCATCCCATCAACCCTCGAACCTACTGGCCTTTACAATTCAGATGGTAAGCGGCCCGATGGTTCGACTATGATCCCTAGGAAGAGGGGGGAATTCCTAACTTGGGATTTCTCATGCATCGATCCTCTTGCCCCTTCCAATATAAATAGAGATGCCATACTAGATGCTGAGGCGAATAAATTAGCGAAATATTCACCATCTCTTCCCGCCTATTATACATTCCTACCATTAATCGCCACTACCTTAACGTCGTTCGGCTTTCATGCCCTAGACTTCTTTAAAGAGCTAGGAAAACGGATCTCTGCTAGGACCGAGAATCCCAACGAGGGATTCTACCTACGCCAACGATTAGCCATAAACATAGTAAAATACAATTATCTCAGCTTTATTTTTTCAATATCCGAAACGCCGTAATACATCCTATGCATAGTATAGACTTTGGCCATTTTGTTGCATATTATTATAATGTTAGCGCTAAATTTATATTAATGTATAATTAATCTATGTTATTTTATTTTATTAAATTATTTTACTAATAATGTAATAATATCTTATTATTATAATGAATATAATATTTATATTTTAAATAATCGCTTTTTATTTGTAAATTAATTTCTATATTTATAAAATTGTTTTGTATTTAATATTTATGAAATTGTTTTGCATCTAACATTAATAAAATTGTTTTACATTTAATATTTATAAAATTGTTTTGCATTTAATATTGATGAAATTGTTGCATTTATAATTTATGAAATTGTTTTACATTTATTATTTATGAAATTTTGCATTATTAGTGAATTTGTTTTACAGTTAATATTGATATTATTGTTTATGCTGACTTAGAATGTTTGCTAATATATATTAATAATATGAAAATGTAAATCTTCAAAAAATAAATAATAGTAATTCATAAAGTTATTAAAATTGACAGTTAAGACTTAACGTATTAATATCCTGGTATTTTTCATTTTCAAATTTAATATTGCCCAGTTAGAAAAAATGAACAAAAAAAGTAATTATTTATCCCCCTCCTCAAAGGAATGATGTGATGCGAAAACTTGACCAAGCTATACAGGCTCGAGAAGAAGGCCTAATATTAAAGGATCAACGATCCATCTACGTCCCTAACGTCAGAACGGGTGGAGGCTGGTTCAAAGTCAAACCCCAATATATACCTGGCCTGTTGGACTCATTGGATCTCATTATCATGGGCGCATATTATCGAAAGGATAAGAAAACAAGTAAAATTTCTTGTGTCCTTTTATGAAGACAGTTACAACAAGGGACCCGGAACAAGGACATATTTATGATCCGACCAAAAAATATATGCTTTGTTTCTAGTTTCCGAACGTTTCGAAACATAATTTTGGGAAATGTGTATTTTTATTTTATTAATATATGATTAATTACATCTAAACATTACTATATAAATGATTATCATTTTATATTTGTCCTATGATGTTGTTATTAATTTGTATATCGAAAAACAGCTTTAAACACAGCCTGGTAATATAATCGTCCATTGAAATTTGAAATTATAATAATACTATTAATTTTGTTAAACAGAAAAGTTTATTAAAAGAGTAACCAGCAATAGTATTGTTTTGTGAATCAAATTTCAATTAAAGTGAAACGAATATTTACGTGTTTATAAATATAATTTATGCAAAAAATACAAAATTAAAGTTGTAATATTATTATTTGAAACCTTCGGAAACTTTGCCAAGATGCCGGAATCAGCGTTCCCATTCAGTTCTCATTCCGTATATAAATTTAAAGTTTCGTTTCCTAAACTCCAGTTTCCTGGTTGTGACAGCTTTTATAATTGGCCTAAAATAGAACTAATGATGACCTCTCATAAACAGTTTATAGTGACCTTGGTAAAATAACTTAAATTTTCTTAATTAAAGAAATATCAAAAATTTTTTTTTCAAAACAAATCTAATGCCTATAACCTAAAAAATATAATGTTATATAGAAAAGCCTACATTGCATGCCAAATCCTCGAAAACAGATTTGCTCACGAAAACGGTACCTCAGGTCATTTCGCATTACTTGATGGCTGTGAGGGTCCCCAACAGGGCAAGTGATAGGAGGGATAGATATATGCCTATTTGCGTGGTATATTTATATTATGTTATACATATTATATACCCATTTTAATTACAATATAATATTTGTAGCTATTTGGAATCTAAATTTTGAACCATTTATTGAGGGCCATTTTAAATCTGATTTTACCGGAAATGGTTTAATATGTATTAAGCATCCATCCTGTAAACGCATTTTTTTTGACCCTTAAACTTTTCATAATAAAATATATGGTGAAAATTCTGAAATTTTAGGCTTAACTACTCTATACATGCTAGAATTCATATTCGGATTATTTTTAAAATATATCGCCTCCTTAATTAAATGGCTTAAAATTGAAAGATTTAGGAATAACCACGGAGGAAGGATTAGTTCTTATTTCTAGATTCCCCATTTGAAACTTAAGATTTTTCCTAGAAAACGTTTTTACAAAAATAGGGTACAAATAAATACAAATGCGAATCGACAAAAATTGGAACATAATATTGTAGCGAACTGACACACTGAGATAACAAAAACTCATACTCAAGTAAGAACTAACACAACTGAGATAAATTTGATAACTTTATTTTCAATATATTTAAAATAAAATAACACTCAGCGTAAAACATTTTATTCATTAACTTCAAAATTTGCGAATTTATTAATTTGCGAAAAGTCAAAATCTACGCAAAATAAAAAAATTATCGAAAAATTAAATTAATACCAATATAATTTCTTATTTTTCATATATAAAAAAAACGTATCCTTCAAAAACATTAAACATAAAAATCAATTAATCCAAAAAAGAAAAATAATATAATATTACAACAAATATAATATTTAAATTTAATAAAATAAATTTATATTTTAATTAATATTTACCACTCTTCTATATGTCCATGTAAAATAATTTATTATTTTTTTTAATCGGAAACTAATTTAGAAAATGATATGTAGCCTTTAGTTTCATTTATACTATAAATAATTTCACTTATTACATATTTGTTTAAATAATATTTAATTTTTATTTCCTGATAAAACGTTAGTAATTTTCGATTGTACCAGTTGACTAAAAAAACGTCGCATTTTATAAAATTATTTTATAACTCTAAAATGCGTAATTCTTCGTTTTTATTTAATATGATTTAAGGGTTTATGGAACAATAACCTTTTTTTAGATTTGATTGATTCGTTTTTATGTTATCAAAAGAATATCTTATAGCGATAAAATTAAGCCATGAAGAGAAAATTTGGAATACTCCAAGTTTGATCTTTATGCAAGACAACATTCATTCACAACGCTTTATCCGCTAATTAACAATGGCACACTGATGGAAATCTACCGGATTATCTTGTATGAGCGAATTAAAGACTTTAGTTTATAATAAGAATTTTTACGTTGTGCCGTTACTAAAGGGAATGTTACACAATAGGCTATATTACACAGAAAATAAAATAACTCCGAGAAATATCAAATTCAAAATTACAATTTTATACACCAAAAATATGAATTAATAAAATTACAATTATAAATTAACAGTCTAAAAATATCTTCTTTTAAAATTATAAACCACCTACTCATGCTGCAAATTAAATTATAAGATAAAAATACACTTTTACAAATTATAAATTATCGCACATAATTATATTTAAAAATTTATACTAAAAATAACTATAAAATTGTAAAATACCATGACTTAACTAAAAATTATTTTGCAAAATCTAAAAATATAAAATTAACGCGATTAAAATAAATTTAGGTAAAAATCATCATGACTAGGCCTATTCAAAAACGAATTCGAATCGAATAGTGCATTATTCATATTCGATTTGTTTAAACGAATCGAATAATTTACAATAAAATCTACTATAAAAATTTTTATTCTCTAAATTATAAATTTTAATTATTTTAACAAAGGCTTTAAATATATTTTCACCTGAATGTGTTTCATTTATTGGACTGACATCCAAAATTATGTTATTTATTTTAAAATTATCATCAATAAAATGGGCTGTTAAAAAAGGAACTTGTGTTGCTAGTCCAAATGTTAGATGAAAAATTAAACTGACTTTTATTTTCATATATTTTTCCTTTACCAACTGTTCTTTATCTGCAAATATATTATACATGTGCAATTTAAAAGTATTGGAGCATAATGATTTTACAGAACAATCAAGATCAACTTATAAAATTTTTAAAATCATTTGAATTAATAATTTTAAAAGGTATATTATTATTTATCAATAATTTTGATAAATTTTCCTTAAAATTAATTTTTTTTGAAGAATTTGGTGTAGACTTTAAAAAAATGTCAATTTTATTATTTTTTTTACTAAGGTGTGAATGAAACCTATTATAATGATTAATAAGGGGAGGTTGTTTTGCCTTTACATTTTATAATACTCTTGCAATGATTGCAAGAAGCCTTTTCACCTTCTTTAAGGATTTGATATTGATCCCATATGATTGCTCTCTTTTGTGAGGAAATTTTCTTATCTTCAACATCAAGCATAATTTCATCAGAAGCATTCTCCTCTAACATAATTAGGTTAGCTAACAATAATTATTGTTAGAGATGTAATATATTTTTATATACCTCTGGTTTGTTTAATTTTTAATATAATTTATTATGAGATTCAAAAAATAAACTTTTCGTGAGATTCAAAAAATGTGGCAAATAAAAATTTAAATTTTCACTTCAGAAATTTTTAAATTTGTGCTAGAATCTTTATAAACACAAACACATCACCTGTCAGATTGGCAGGTCAACAAATAGAAATGACAAATGTTAGATTTATTAAACAATTTATTAAATATTACGAATAATTCGTTTTATTCGAATCGAATAAATGATTATTCGTATTCAGATAAAACAAATAATTTATTATTCGTATTCGTAATTATTCGATTAGATTCGAATTAAGTTACGACATTTTCTTTAGATTAATTTGAAAGAAAAATTAGTGAAATAGAGCCCTTTAGTTCACAAAGAAAAAAATATGGGGTTTGACCAAATGGAATAGATTGTTAGCTGTTATACAAGGAAAAAGGAGAACCGATGCAACATAATATCTTGATTATATTTATGTATTTTAATAATTTTTCTGTCAATAATATTTATATTGTATAAAGTTAAATAAAAAAAACATTGCTTTAAATATGCCCTATCCAAGTTAGCTTTGATATTTATCAATTTAATTTTTTTTACACAACCTATTAAGATCATTCTCGGGGGTACACATGTGTAATCATGTGATTAAGTTAAATTTCACCAAATAATTAAACCTTTTTTTTATTAGAATAAGAATTCAATCCGAAATAGAGTATCTAATCTGATAATAAATTTCCAAATTAATAAAATTATAACAAATTCCAATATTCAATACGGCATACAAAAAAAAAGGAAAAAGAAACAATTTTAATAATTGCATCTGTGAATTACTCGAAATTAAAAAATGTTGATGATCACAATAAAAAAATAAAAATTTCTTTTAAATCGTGTTTTGTTGATAAGTGGGTAATGATGTAGAGCGTTGAACGTTATTGATCTTTTTCTGTTTTATTTAAATATTAGATTACGTTATTTTCATGTAGCGTATGTGGTCAAGTCGGTTCAGTGCATTTATCACAATCTGATAGTTATCGACTCGAATCCAGCAAGGTCATGTTTTTTATAAAGCCAACTAGGTAATTCCGTCCTTGAAAAGGGTGGTATAAAGTAGATCGGACTCACGTGATTCCGTTAATATGCATTAAAAAATAAATAAGTCTTATTGCATTTTAATAAACTTTGGTCGTTGGGACTAAAATCATATATCATTACCTTGCTGATAACATATACCTTTAGATGTATTTTGAATCATAATTTAATATAAAATATTCAAAAAAAAGAAGTATTCATGGGATATGTTGATCATAACAACTTTATTCAAAAAAATGTAATAAGCAAATATCGTTGATGACCAAACATAAAAAGATTGAGATTGTAACACTCACCAAAATGCAATATTGTATATACAGGGTTTGCTAATGTTTTCGAACGGAAACTTTTATTATGAGGGCACAAAATAAATAAATTTTTTATATATTGTTATCAATTTTAACATATAAAAAAATAATTCAAAAAATGCCCTTATTTTTACCCTTCTTTCGGAAAAATTCTCATTTAAAACGAGCATTTAAATTTTTTTATCGACCCAAGTCAGCTTTTGGTAGATAAGATTAACCAACCTTGGACGGGGTTATAAAACGACCTATATTTTGGGTCGGATCGATATAGTCATAAAAAATGACCCGAACTTGGGGTCAAAAACAACCCAAAATTTTGGTTCCCGTTCTAAATCGCTAAAACAAAAATCGCTAAAAATTGAGAAACTCCCCTATAACTCCTAGAAAATTTTTAAAGTAAATTTGAAATTAATATTAATAGATGCTTTGTATTTAAGTTGAGAATTTTTAAAAAATCGCTAAACATGGAGGAAATATCATCCAAATTTGCAGTTATTCCCAAATTGGTAATCAAATTCGGAGCAATGATAATATTTCCACTATTCTTGGTAATTTTTCTGATTCAAATACAAGTGTTTACACTTTCATCTAATAATATTAATTTCAAATTTACTTTAAAAATTTTCTAGTAAATAAGAGAAATTTCTTATTTTTAACGATTTAGAACCTATCCCAAATTTTTAGTCAAGGTCGTTTTTTCAGCTTCGATTCGTGTCGTAGTCGAACCCGAAATTTGGGTGAGCGATGTTCGAGCCGGCTAAGCCGCTTATCAACACTAGACTAGTGTCATATTTTTCTTTATTACTATAATTTGGATGGAAAAACAGAACCAATAAAAACTCAATTTAACACTTTTTATCTAAAGTTTATTTATAATCACTACTTTTATAAATTTTCGTTAAGCTTATATACCTTTTCTTATAATGATTAATATGATTGTACAAAATATACAAAAGTATAAAAAAACTTTACAAGGTTAAATATATTATTTTAAAGTAAAAGAATCTTTTAAACAAATTATTTTAAAATAAAACATTTTTACAAACCTTTTAGTGTTTAGTCAAAAAATGATAACCAAAATTTTAATTTGGTTCATCTTAACAATTACACACATTGTGGTGTCCCCATTAAGGTTACATCGAAAATATTATTTTAACATAAATAGCAAACGAGATAATCAAGTTCATTAAAATTATATGAAAATTGCTTCGTTTTTTTTGTATGTCGTAAATTGAAATATATTATAATTTAATCAATTTGGAAATATAATATTTCTTATTTTATTTTTGATTGAAATATTTATGCTAATAAAAAGGATTTATTTATTTTGGATTAAATTTAACTTAACCATATGACCTCTGTTTTACACAGCTATGCCCCTCAAAAGTAAACCTAATAGGTCAAATTTACCATTTGAGATTAATATTGTATATTTTTCAACCCTAACAGATTATTTTTACTTTATTTATTTATGACCAAGATTACTCCTGTCCTTTTATCTACGAAATTCCCGGACTATCAGTCGTAATCGACCCCTTACCTCCACCGTTCGCGGAGCCCTTGTATCTGGCCCCGAACATAATAGATTTCCACATTTAAAATTCGATTTATTCCATATTCGACTTTCACCGTTCATTTATTGTATTTGTAAAAGGTGGGTTCAGGGTTTTCGGATGGAGACTTTCAAGGCCTTTTATTTTCGCTCATCCCACATTTTAGCGAATCTTCGAGGGATAGCACTCATTTGGTTTTAGGGCTGCGCAGTTATAGGCCCGATTTATGGATAAAAAGTTCAAATGAATCCGTGGTCCTCCAGGTCAAAGCCTCTAATATAATATTACGCGACATAAGAGTTGACGTCCCCTCTGACCTAAAAGACGACGTAACCTATTACGTAGATGATGACATCAATGACATGGGCAATGAGATAGAAGGGGAACCTAGTTTAAAAGGTTTGAATTTTTTTAATTTTATAATTTCAGAAATTTTTTCAATTTGTAATCCATAAAATTTATTAAAATAGGATTGTTATATTTGTATATTTTAATTTTCAAAAAGGCATACAATATTAAATTTTAAAATATTTAGCGAAGGGTAATGGTTCTAGGCTGGGTGAACCAAATACTGGACTAAACCGACATTAAAATACGAACTTTTGATTTCAGTAGTGACTTTGATTAACTATGTTTTCATTAGCATACAAGTTAATTTAACAACGGGAATAATTAGTCTTTAATTAAATAAATATTACTTGACGGAACATGTATTTTAAAAAAATAATATATATAATTGAACTTTTTTAGTTGTGGACCCAGATATTGAACCTGAAAAATTGTACATCAAATTGAAGTATCCGAGATTAGAAAAAATTAGGTTAGATAAATCTATACACGAATGCACGACTCTCTATGAACTGGTTGCCATAAATAACGTATTATATTTTTAAAAACATAATATAAATATTTACTTTTTTGGTATATTTTAGTTTCATTACAGAAGCATATACGCGATTGGATGCAATATATGCAGCTAATTTAAAGTGCTGTACGCATTTGAAAAAAAATACATGAATTATATAATTTTTATATCATTGAATTCCATCAGGTTCTCACAAAAGATCTAAAAGCCCAAACCGCTAGTCACAAATACAAACCACTGAGGCTGGTAGGCAAATTACATTTTTCCAAACACGACCCTCAAAATCCTAAAAACCGGAACCTAGAGGACCATACTAATAAGCGGAAGCGGTTCTTAGTCGGTTACGCCAAGCCATTAGCAACAAAAATCGATGAACAAAATTTGAAATTGGTATTTTATTTTGTGGTTTACAATAAAATTTTTTTTTATAAGCCATTAATTTCCTTGTAATCATAAATTACATCTAGTTTTTTTTTGGCTCATTTTGTGAATTGGTATATTTATATTTAAAATCTGCTTCGGGTTGTTTTTACTAGTCTTACTAATTTATTTTTCAAGGTAAATTAAAAATATTAATTAACACGTTCCTTTTGTACATAGCAAAAGCCGGACATTTTATCGCGAGAAGGGACATTGGTTTTTACAATTTTGTTGTAGATATTTATTATATTAGCCTAAGTTACTTACAAACTCTGAGAAGTGAGAAGACTAATTACTGGATTAATATCATTAATTCTTGTTTTAATGGCCTGACTATTCGAATTTTTTACTTACAACGCAATTTACTCTTAAATATATTTCTTTCAACTCTTCATTATCTTTTCTGTAGCACTTTTCTTATTTACAATTCATAGGTATTTCCGAGACCTAAAAATTTCAAAAATTAAAAAATGAATATTAAAAAAAATTTTTATAATAAAATTATAATCAGATGGAAAAAAATAATAATATTATAAATAAAATAATATAATTTTTTAATTATATAAAAATAAAATCCTTCAAGGTTAAAAAATTAACAATATCGATTTCTTTTCACAAATAATAACAAAAATAATCATAATAATATCAATCTAATAAATAAACGCAATTTTATAATCTAACGTAAATAAACGGAATATGACAGGCCATCCATGCAAGAATACCTTCAACTATTTCTAGGAGGAATTATTTTATTTCAGTATCAGTCCTGTCTAAACCCCGCCAATCCACCTCCCATTTGTTCTCGATTTATGAGAACGGTAATATAGAATTACATAATATTTTTCAATCTTTTCAAATTCCAAAGTTTCGCTGAAGTAAAGGCATTGGCTGCGTCATTTATGATAGAATATTAGTTATTTTGACCCAACGTTAATGATTTGCCTTTGTAGTCTTCATCGAGTTTGAACTTAATTATCTGGGCCCAACGTTAACGAATCTTCTCTGTAATATACATTGAGTTTCCATAATAATTTTTTTCGCGAGTTGATAATCTATATCCATTAGCACAATTGAATGGTGGAGACGGTGACATATGTTGTATACCACATGGTGGAGACTGCTCTCATAAATGGAGAACAAATGGGAGGTGGTTTGGCAGGTTTAGACATAATGTTACCGAAATGGAAATTCCTCCGCGGAGAATAATATGGAAGTTGAAGGTATTCTTGCATGGATGGCCTGTCATATTCTGTTAATTTACGTTAGATTATATTAATATGTTTATATTTTATTATTAGTCATATTTTGTTATACTATGGAAAAAATTGATATTATGATTAATTTTGTTATTATTTGTAAAAAAAAGAAATCTTTTAAACTTTCTCTATTTTTACTCTATTTTTATTTTCATGTTAATTTACGATAGATATTTAAGTAACTTTAGATAGATGAATACTTTTAGATATTTATCATATTAATTTTTCCATATTTTTTCCATAAAAATTCTATGATTTATAAATAAATTTAAAAAGAAGAAATTCTTTAATTATCATAAAATTATTTTTTTATCTCTACAAATTAGGTATCGTCGATATTCAACGGCAAAGAATTTTATATTATAAACGATTTCGAAGGACTTACCAAAGCCGATTTAGAACGCGAATGCTTGGAAAGGGATGCTAACATCGTTCAGATTCCTGGTAAAGTCGAAAGACCATTATTTATTTACACAAATGATCTAACCATGTAGGAACTGACCCGTGGAAATTTTCTATCGAGGGTTTAGCTCGGCCTGGCCCATAATTATTTTTACCCGGCTCAGCCCGTTAAATATATTATTTAGTATTTGTCCAACCTGACCTGTAATAACTTTTTATGAATAAAAACGACATATATTTTCCTAATTATCATCATTAAAAACATTTTCAAAACTTTGGCCCAGCCTATAAAAGTTTTTGCCCGACCCATGGGTTGGGCTTTTGAGCTGGACTTCACCGAAATCTAATAGTTATATTTTAAAGAGATACTTAAAAAAATTACTCTTGTGTTTTTTATATCTTTAATATCAGATTTTCTACCTAAAGTCTAGTGTTGTTAAAGTTACTTTTGAAACATAACTAGTTACAGTTAATAGTTACATTGGTAAAAATATAACTAGTTACATTGTTTAAATATAACTAGTTATTAGTTACAGTTACATTATAAGTTACTTTCTGGTTCTTATAAATTTTAAAATGGTCTATTAATTTTAAAAATGGGTTTCAGGTTATGTATTAAAAATTAATGATTTTTTAAATCAAATATTTGCAAATATGATATTTATATATACAGTTGTTGCAAATATTTATTTTATATTGCAAATATATATTTTTTAATGTTAATTCAAATAGAACTGTATAATATTGGAGTTTTTTTGTCAAGATGTGATAATAAGAATACTAAGGGAAGGGTATTAGATAATTTATTTTTTATTTAATTATATATGCATGCATCCTATTGTATAATTTGGAAAATACTTTAGATCATAGAATTTACCTATTTTTTTAGAAGGCAATAAATTCATGAACAAGAGGACCATGACAAAAATACCCTAGATAATTCCCAAATTTTTCAAAAAAATTAAATTAACCTATAGAATGAGGGTTATTTGATTTATCTTTTGTTGAAGGAAATGATATTTGATATCTGCATTATAATATTTTGTTTTTCTTTCATAGTCTTTGTCTTTTCTTATTAGTAAGTAATGATGACTAATTTTACAAAAATTATTTAATTCCAAAATAATCTAAATCTTTATCTTTCGTTATACTAAGTTTTATGCTCTAATTTAGTAAAATTTTAAAAAAAATACATTTATAACTTATGAAATTCTAGAGTATAATTATTGCCAGCAACTTGAGGGCAAAAAATATCGAAAATATTGTGCTAAATTTGTAAGGAAATATAATATTAAAAAATAGGTTTATTACTTGAATTTGGTTACAAAATTATAAAACCCAGCAACGTAACAATTTAAGGAAAGAAAATCTATTTGATATCTTTTGCGAACACAATCAGACATTTAAACAAAATTTTAAAATTAATTTAGCACAAAGCTAGTCCCTTGGAACCAAGGTTTACCACAAGCTTGGGATTAAACATGTGTAGATCGATTTGCTAGATCTTTTAATGTTAAATCCATCACTTAAGCTGAAAATACTAAAAATCTCAATAATCTTTTGTTTGTTCGGGTAGTCTCAGACACCTGTGGATCGTTTGGACCCCAAGCCCTAAAATTATTCAAAATAATAGGGCAAAGGTTACGTTTAATCACAGATGATCCAAAAGAAGGCTTCTACCTACGACAAAGAATATCAATAAATTTGTCGATACAACTGTATATTTATACATGAGTCATTAAGCCCCGCCGACTAAACTTAAAATATATATTTTTTTTTATTTCTCTTTTAATTATATATTTTTATAAAGTTATAGTATATTAATTATAATTTAAATATTCTTTTAATAAATGATCAATTCACATATTAAAAATAAAATTAATTATTTAGATTTATACATACATATTTTTAGAAGTAACTAGTTACTTTTAACTAGTTACTTTAACAACACTACTAAAGTCTCTTTACCATGTTTCATGCATTGAGATTAGGTAAAAATTATCTGAAATATAAGATTTTATTTTAATAAACAGTTAATACAAGATATAAATATTTTTAATTCTTGTTATAATTGTTTTCTTCCTTGCTCTAACATTCCCCATTTATGGGTACAATTAATTTAATTTTTTTTTTATTTGATATAGATATTTCAGAGACTTGCAAAGGTATCATTTGCACAGCCCGGCCAGGATTTTTTAAAAAAATTTTTTTCGGCCTGGCCAAGCCCGGGTTTTATGTTTCCTGGCCCGGTCTGGCTTTTTAAAAAAAATTCGGTTATTTTTTTTATAAAAATTCAGAGGACGGGGCTGCAGGTCTCTGATATATTTATGTAAAAGTAAAAAAATATTAAAAGATTAAAGGAAAGTTTAATTAAAGAATCTCCATCACTATCCTTATTTTAAAAAAAGGATCGTCAATATGGGCACTTTTCCAAAATTAGGATCAAATCAAGGATCAGTGATCTTTTGATCACTATTTTTTAAGGATTCCAGCTATATAGTAATGTTATTCCCTTCATTTTCGTAATTAGATAATTCTTCTACATTAGAAATAACTTCCTCAATATATATTGATGCCGTTTAAAAACAAATTAACTATATTTTCTCTTATTAATAATTTATTTAAAATTATTCAAATTTAGGTTAGAAATATGAAAAAGTATTTTGAGTAATTTAAAACACTTTGCAAAAAAATCAATAGCTCAATGCTACATTTCAAAATGCCTCAAAATCAGGGAGATGGAATAGAACTTTGAGTAAATTTATGGAACGAGAGCATTTTTTTAGATGACTTTTTAGGTCAATAGACTAAATGTAAAATAAGGCTTCAAAAAATTAATTCCCTGTTATCACAAGACTTAATTCCAACTCTCAACATAAGGGAAAAAATTCTAATGAATTAATCTGTTTGTTCTATCTTATATCTATATCCTAGGTTTAATAAATCTCTTTTTAAAGAAGAGGAAAACAATATAGCTATAAATCATTTATTGACAACATGGAAACATAATAAAATTTTAAAGATAAAGATTTAAATATAATAAGTAATTTGGATAAATCTTCCAAAGAAGGACAAGAATATGATAAATCAGAAATGTTTCTAAGGTTCAAGGATAAAAAAGAAAAATATAGCAAAACTTACAAAAAGGATATGCTATCAACTATAAAAAAAATTGGCCCAAATCATATTAGCAACTCTATGTAGAGCCAAGTAAGTGTTGAACGCTGTTTTTCGACTCTCAAATTTATACTAACTGCAGAATCAATATTAATGATAATCTTTTAGAAAAATTGCTTCGATTTAAAAATTGATTCATTTAATGATTAAATAAAGATTAATATAAATGTTTCCGAAAAGTGAAATGGAATTGGAACTGGATCGAAACGGGAACCCAAAAATGCCCTTCTTCCGGGTCCAGCTCAAAATACATGAGTTAAGATACTAGGCTAAGCTTAACGCAATATATTTTATATAATATATTTCGCTACTGCACAACTATGGTTGATTTTATAATAATAATAATGTGAGTATTAAGAATACAAAATATAATATTTTTTAAAACGCGTTCTAAAAATTTATAAACGAGATGGCGTTAGACCATATGTAATTATATTCATAATTTAATTAAAAACATTAACAGGCATTAATACAACATACTTGGTTGCAGGAAATATGAATGCCAAAATCAACAATTACATTTCGTCTGCCAAATATGATATAGTCAAAGCGTCTTGGTTATTACGCTGCATCCAGAACGAAAAATATATCGATAGGTAAATCAATTTTTCTTTGAAATATTAAAAATGACTTCGATTTTTCTTTTGAAATTTACGCATGTATCCTCATTTTATAATACATATACATTTATTATGACCCTCTAAAATGTTAATGAGGTTCAGTAAACTGGTAAATTTTAATACCTATTGTATACGAAATCAAAGTGTTAAAAGCTAGAATCAATTTTTTTTTATAACTTAATTAATATTTAAATGAACTAATATTATCTAACTTGATTGTTTCTTTAAGCTAATTTTAAATATAAATTTATATTTGTAGATATCTGCAAAATCTAATCATAATTCGATTTTAATATCTGTTTAATTATAGTTTTAAGCATCACGGAGCACATTAAATTTTTTTTAAAATATTTATTAAAATTGTTTTACAAAGCATTTATTTTAGTAGCTTAAAAATATATATATTTCATGATTATTTTTTAATAGTGTTGTTAAATAGTTAGACTTTTTAAAATCGACGAATCCAAAATCTTTGTCAAAAAATATTATGCAAGCCTGTATATTCTGCTCATAGTGGCAGAAAAGTTTGAACATCTATTAACTAAATTTTGAGACTTGCATAATATTATTTTGGCTAAAATCATAATTAAAATCGGCTAAATCGAGCCGTTTAAGAACCCATTTTTAAACATAATAAGGGTATTTTGAAAATTATAAAATAAATATTTTTAATACTTTTGCAGTCAGCACTTGCAAAATTGAAATCCTCATAATTTGTAGACTTATAATTATAACTTTCATAATTTAAATTTTAATTTGATATAAAGCCAACCCCGAGATATGATCTATATGAAATCCCAAACTCAAAAAATGTTTCAAAGTAGCTACGACCTATATGGGGATAGTTATTGTGAGGATGTTGACGCAGAAACGCTGGAATCGATTATGGACAGAATTTTCATAGACGATGAAGATTTTCTCAATGCTTCTGAATTGCTAGAGTTAAAAAGGGTTGTTGATAACGTAGATTTATAAATTATCTATCGAAATTTAAAAAAATATTTTGTGAATCTTGACGTTTATTTATAATTTATATTTGTTGAGAAATATACGATTTTGATTAATTTGAAAGACTTATTTCTATATTTGTTACTTAGTTTTATTTGTTATTCTATTTTTAAAAAATATGAATATAATTTTGCAACTATATTATATTAATAATGACAATTTAATTTATCCAAAATTTTAGAGAATTACAAAAATTGTATTATTTATATTTGTATTATTATATCGTAATTATATTTTAAAGTTATATATTAATTACCTATTATTATATTTAGAATATATATACGGCATCACTTTTATGAATCAAATGTTAAATAACGAATTTTTTTTTCTTTACATGTGGTAAGCTCCTTTAATATCTCTCTCCACTTTATGTTATTCATACTATCTCTTTTATCTAATTTATACTTCTTCATTTTGACTCTAACTTTATTGCCGCATTACCTAAGTCTGTTTACCATTATCTTAGTCTTAATGAGCACTACCTCTAAACTTCCTAGTATTCTTGTACTTCGCACCTTATCCTTTCTTGTTACCCCAGCAAACATACTCAGCATTCTCATCTCCATAGTTTGTAGACTTCTCTCATCTGATTTTTTGGTTGGCCATGTTTCCGAACTATATAGAGTTGGTTGTACTATGGAACTGTAAATTTTTCCATTCAATTTGTGTGGGATTCTTTTGTCAAAGAGCACTCTAGATAAAGATCTCCACTTTAACCACCCTTGATTAATTTTACTCTCTCTCTTTCTCTATTGCGCCGTTTGTTTGTATAGTGAAACCCAAATATTTACAGCTTTCAATTGCCGATATCTGCCATTCATTTATATCAATGCTTTCTGTTTCATCCTCTATAACCATATACTCCGTCTTTTCTCTATTTACTTTTAGTCCGTGCTTTTCTAGGATATTTATCCAGCTCATTAATCTTTCTTTCATTACATCCTTGGATTCGGCACGTATCACAATATCATCTGCAAACCTTGATGAACTCCCTCGGCTATTGTGAAGCCTGTTGAAATACCAGTTGTGCTACGGACCATTGTTGTATGGCCCATATACATATCCTGTATTATTCTTATATATTTTACGTCACCAAATATGTTTTCTTAGGATTCTATCGAATGCCTTTTCTAGATCGAGAAAGACCATGTGTAGGTCGATTTGGCAGTGTCTATTAATCTGAATGAAAGGTCTGTCCACATTTTTTCACTGATTTGTGAGGAATCTATTCAATGTTTGCATTGATTGCAAAAGCATCTTGTCGTTGTTTTTAATTTACCCCATCTGATGCATGTTTCAAGTTTTATATTATTTTGAGCGGATTTATTTGAGATGTGTAAATCCATGATTAGTAGCTTGTGTTGCTCGGCAATATCTTCTAGGATTACTTTGGAGTATATTACATCTTTTAATCTTCTTCGAGAGATAAGCATGTAATCTATCTGGGTTTGTTGTAGCTATCTCTTGCTTTTCCCACACGCGCATTTAAGTCACCACCTATTATAACTAGGTCATCCTTAGGGATTTTCAAATATTCTTTTCTAATATTAATGTGGATGAGGCAATGTTTTTGAAAGTTTATGCTCGAAACAAATTACAGCGCCTTCTCAGCTTACAGCTATATTTTTTTTATCAGCAATTTTTTTTGTAAAAATGAGAGATTAACAGGATGCTAAATATATTAGTTTAGGCATAGACTTTACTGCACATCACCATGACGAATATGGCAGCTATTATATTTATTCAAATATCCCTTAAATTTTGATAATTATAAGAAAAGGTATATTTGTGTCAATTATAAAATACCTGGTAGTAAATAATCGCCTAAGCTAATTGCCAATCCTTACAAATTTGTGAATAGGGCAAAATAAAAATTCTATTGTAAATTTCCAAATATCACCTTAATTTACAATTAAGCTATTTTAAATTGGTATCTTTTGCGAGACTATTATAAAACATTATTATACTAGGAAGTTATGTTGGGGATCAGTTCATCTAAGACAATGCATCTGATAACAAATGTTATAAGCTGGTGTCAAGGAAGTATGCAAGCTGTTTCATACCAAAAAGTAGCTATCTTAGGTCTACTACCAGATGTGGGCAGGTCCTCCGGAAAGAGAATCTAGATGCAGTTCCAAATTCTTTATAAAGAGATGGATATTAGATACAGATACTGGTATCTTATTTAAAACATCTAAAAGATACTTGAATCTTTTGCTAGATGAGAGTATCTTAAATAATACTCTTATAAAATTATTATTCTAATTCTTCTCTTAAAGTTTTATTTCTCACTCTAATAAATTTTTAGTTCTTACACTTTAATATTCTTAATGTTTTATTATGTAATATTTGAACTTTTAATTTTAAATATCTCAAGTTAAAGTATGCTCAATAAATGTTTTATTTCTCCTCAATATTTTTAATACTATTTTAAAGTATTTATATTTTAATAATCCTCAATATTCTTTATGTTTTATTTATTTTGTAAAGTCTCTAATATTTCTTTATCTTCGTAGGGAAAAATATCAAACTAATTTTCTTTTTCAAAAATTTAATAATTAATAATAATCGATGATATCATTTTTTAATAATAAACTATAAAATATAATATATTTTTTAATTAACATAATTTTTTAATTAATATAATTTCTAATAATAATCTATATTGATCTATATAATCGATGATATCATTTTTTAATAATAAACTGTAAAATTGATAATATTATTTTTTAATTAATATAATTTTTTAATTAATATAATTTTTTAATTAATATAATTCTTTAATTAATATAATTTTTTAATTAATATAACTAGTAGAAAGCCCGTCAAAAATGACGGGGAATGAGATTTTTATTCATTTTTTACGATACATGTCATGCCAGGTTCAAGCTCCCAATTTTAGGAAGCATCCAAGATCTTATAATAATAAAAAGGTTTATCAAGCCCAGCTCAACCCTTAATAATTTATAAAAGATATTACCAAGTCAGGTGCAAGCTAATATTAATTTTGAGGTTCCAAGCTCAGTCCTACCCATTATAATTTTGAAAATTTTTTCCCGTCTCGGAGATAGTTAAATTTTTAATATCATCACATGAACGGTAAATATCTGATTTACCAATTAGTCTAATATGGAAAAAAAACATGTAAATTCCGTATTAAGGGAAACTGGGAAGGCCTGGGCAACCACTTATTAGAGAATCATGACAAATAAAATAAAAATAACCGACTTATACTTTGTTGTAATATGATCAATTAAAATTATATCTAAAAAATATGTTGTTTATTATATATAAGGTTATTGTTGTTTTTCAGATAAATTTAATGAATGTCTTGCATTTCTGAAATTATTTGTCAAAGAATTTGATAAGGGATATATATATTTTTTTGTTAAGTAAAATAAAATGCTGTATATTTAAATTACAATGCCATTAAACACTAATGTAACTTATATGCAAATTATTTATATATTTTTTAAGATATTTTTTTTATTGACATATAAATTTAGGATAATTTTTTTAAAAAATAATGAGGAATATTTATTATGTATTTGATAAAATTAAGAGCAAATCCTTGTGACATTTTAATTTTTGATGGAAAAAGCGACAAAATAAATCTGGGCGGTCGTCTGAAGAGGAAATAATGAGTATATAATTTTATATCATTTTGGGTTGTAGATGAAAGTAATGACGGCTTACCAAAGCAGTGTACAAAACACAATACGTCCTGATAAAGATGATATGCCTATGCCTTGAGATACTGATAAAAGATGAACGCAAAACGATATTTCTGTCAATGTCAGCATTGGTATCCCCCTCTAAAATAGAATCATGAACGACAATGTTATCTAAACCATAAAACGGTCGTAAGTATTGTTATAAAGGCCACGACAGAACTACTGCATATTTTTTCATTAATAAAGTTGATGAAATATCTGTACTGTACATTCAAGTTTGAACACGCAAAACGATATCTCTGTCAATGTCAGCATTGGTATCCCCCTCTAAAATAGAATCATGAACGACAATGTTAACTCAACCATAAAACGGTCGTAAGTATTGTTATAAAGGCCACGACAGAAATAATGCATATTTTTCCATTATAAAAGTTGATGGAATTGGCCGTACTGTACATTCAAGTTTGAACATTCCTCTAAATATTCATGAAAGTTTTTCAGAGAATCGGATAAAGTTATATTTATTTTAACTCCTGAAGTGAATGATAGTACAGAATTAAATGTTTATATTTGTTAAAATAGGCGCAGGTGGCATAGGGATTATGGTAGTGGTGATAGATATATCATTTGGAGAAGTTGGTGAAAATAAAATATACATAGATATAAAACATAAGATAAAAAAAACAAAATAAACCTCCAGATGAGTTCATTTCAAGCGTAGTTCTTATTTTGTTTACCAGTAACTCTAGAACGGGTAAGGCATTTGTTTAATCGTCAATATTTTCTTTGCTTATCTTTAATAATAGATTCATCATGTTTTGTAGCAATGTGAGGGATTACGGTTAGCCTAGACAAATAAAGAAATCAGGCAAAAATATAAATAAAATATTGTTGAAATTAAAGAAACATTAAAATAATGTAAAACCGGTACAGCTTTCGGCTGGAGTGTGTAGCCTGAGGTAGGGAAATAAGAGAAAATTAAATGGAAAGAAAATAGGGAAATAAAAAGGGAAAAGAAGGTATAGATAAAGAAAATTAAAAAGTAAAGATAGGAAAGGGAAATGATGAGAAAGGGGAACATAATAAAAGGAATTTAAAGGGAAAGAAAGGAAAAGAGAATTTTAGTATTTTTAAATTTTGATTTTTCCCATATTATTTGAGACTGTTGTTAAAATAATGAATGTTAGTGATACATATGTTGTATACATTTTGTATGTTACTGAAAACTATTTTTTGAGTTAAAATATATATCTTTATAAAATATTAACATAAGACTAACATTTAACATTAAAAAATCGCAATATAGGTTCAAGCCTATAATATCTAGAAAAAATATCCAAGCATCCAAGATCTC